TTATAATTCATAATATAAGTGGGTAATTATCGCACAGAACCAACAGCTCAACCAAATGACACCTTTTAAAAATTTTTGTAAACAAATTTACAGAAGGCTATGTTTTATATTCCTATCCTACATTCTTCTCTGCTTTCTGTTGCAGGGAACCAGACAGGGCTGTTAAAAGGAGGTCGGTAAGGGAAAGGAAAACAAGCAGAGACTCTAATCCACTTTCTCTTCACACATGGACAATGAATGTGGCGACACTCAAATGACAAAGGGAAAGATCAAGTTCAAGTTTAAGTTCAGTTTTATTTTTTTTAATTCCAGCCAAATACAAGTATACAGTGGATAAAATATAGTTCCTCCTAGTCCATGGTGCAAATACATAAACATTGTAGACAGGATACACATAGAGCAAAGTGCAAATAGTGCAAATTACTAAGGCGAATACATAATACAATATATACAAAAACACTGGGGGAACCCTGTTTCTGGAATTGGAGTGGGTGCAAGTAGATTCCAGGGTGTTGAAGAGCCATACAGCCTGCAGGAAAAAGCTGTTACAGAGTCTGGTGGAGGTAGCCTGTATACTGCGTACTGGAACAACCATTTTTTCCAGACCAGGATCAGCCACTGCATCAGTGTGCACCACCATTTGGTTACCAAGATGCCTTCTCAAAAGAGTCAGTTCTTAGTCCCTAGTAGTTCCTACCATTTCCTAATAAAAAACCAGTGAAGATAGCAATCAGGAAATGACTGGTACCTGGTCTTAAACCTTTCTTTCAGAAGGTTCTGCTGTGATAGAGTGCTTTTTAGTATGTACAGTATGTGACTGATGTGTTTTCAGATGTAAGTGGCAGCACTGTTCTGATGAGCCCCAGGATGGTCATCGACAATTCTCAGATTACTGTCTCTCAGTCACCTTTTACAAGTGAATTTAACTGCAGCCCCCCAAAAAATCCAATCTGCAGGGCTGGTTTGCCGCTGAGAATTATCATAAGTTGTCGGATTCATTTTTAAAAGATGGTGCTTATAGAAAGGCACAGCTAGCCATCATCATGATAGTGCAGAAACTGTCTGGACAGATGCATGTTTTCTTTAATTTTCAAGCTGGTCTTGTAAGGTTTGAGTCAGAGAAGCAGGCTAATGTAAGGAGCATTGGAAACTCCTGTGGGATTCCAGAAACAGGACCAGAGGCTGGCAGCAAAAAAGTTCCTCCCAGCAACTGAACAGCCCTTAACCTTCCCAGGGCCTGGAATGGATCAAATATTAGAATGCTGGCTCACAGACTAATGGAATTATTCTCTAGATGGAGGACTGTTGTTTGCTACAGGTGAAAGTTATTTGTAAGTGTTGGATTTGGAGAGCCTATAAGCTGGTTCAAAGTTTGATGTTATCCAGGTCAACCCTCCTCACACACATGCACACACACTTTAGCTTTGAAAGACAGCAATGTGTTAATGCTGTTAACACATTAAAGATGCCATATTGACATCTTTAAGAATACACTGCGTGGGTGAGTAAATGCTATCCTGATATGTAAATAAGCATACATTTCTTGATATTTTTGGAAAGGATTTAATCTCAGAAATTTAATTGCTTGAATTTAATCACATTATGATTTTTATTTCACTTACAGAAACATAAATCTCTGGAGCAACAACTCTTTTTTGCTAGATTTTACCTTACTTGACATATTTGAAGACTCCCAAAGTTAAGACTGCAAAACTCAATGGATTTCTGTATGCTGATGGATTTGGTTAAAAATATATGGAATGTTGAAGGTCTTTTTTTTCTTGAGGTTAGTAAAGTTAGTAATTAGTAATTACTTACTAATTCTTTGAAAACCTTTCTGAACATGGACACATTAAAAGGAGGTAATAAGTAATTAGTAAATGTAGGATCAAGGTGAATAAAAATGTACACATTCATACAATTGTCATACTGAATTTCAATAGAAACTAATCACTCTATACATAGTTTCAGAAAAATTTAAATGCATGGGTTTTTGATATTGATTAAATGTTTTTAGCATCCTTCTGATTAATTGATCAGTCATGAAATATGATTGACTGTGATACACCTGGGTGACTTTGATTATTGCATACACACTACAGTAAATCACCTCATTAATGAGTAAGAGGATTGGGCATGGGTAATGACCTAATGTTTTGAATGTACAGCCTTGTGAAATTCAAGAAAGAAAAACAAAAAAGGGAAACAATACACTACACTTACTCAAAGAATGAAGCTTTTTCTCATCTGAATGCTGGAGCCTGGAATACTGTATGTCAGCACACTGTAACTTGGTGTCTGGGGTGTTCTCAGCCAGTAGAGAATGTCAATGATAGGCTGTGATCTGGGAGACTCTCGGTTACAACAAAGACCAATGGGGAGGTCCACTTTTGATGATCTTGGCAGGAGTAGTGCCTAGTCAGTACAGAACTGTACTTCTTGTGATTGATGGAAACCTGACTGCGTGGCTCTAGATTTATCTAGTCCTGGAACTTCACCTGCTACCCTTCCCCTGGGTTCATCCTCACACTGTAACACTGTTACATCCTCCAAGGTTACACCAGCAACATGAGGATGTGCTCATGCTGGTGTCATCATGGTGAATGTAACAGACAGGCTGTGATAAGATGAGATAACATCACTTAATTGGCCATATACAATTTCTTGTATTAGGAATTTGTCTTTTCGCATACCCGAACTTGCTCTCAATGAGACACACAGACAGGGAGAGAAACTTGGGGTCAGAGCGCAGGGTCAGCCATTTATATGGTGCCCCTGGAGCAGTTGGGGTTAAGGGCCTTGCTCAGGGGCCCAATGGAGCAGGATTCCTCTGCCGGCCACGGGATACGAACCGGCAACCTTCCAGCCAACCTTCCTCATAGGATGATCTGCAATGACATGTGTCATCTAGGGTTCAGAGACCAGTGGAAATCTACGATACAATAGCATCGGCAGTGAAACCATGCACCACAGACATGCAGCATGCTTTTCTTCTAATGGTGGGCAGACATGCTTACTTTAACTGTTACAGTTACTGTTACTTTTACAGTATGCCTTCTGCAAATGAACACTATTCTGCTGATGAACTGTTAATTAGCATGATGACTCTACCCATGTCATATCTGTTTAATAAAATGCTGTACGCCTGCTAAAAAATATTTTAACATTTTCCTAATAATAACTTTAGGAATGTGTTGAAGGTCCAAGTGGTAAATGACTTTGCTTATTATGCATATAGATAACTTTTATTAGTCCAGATTTAAAAAAAGGTTTTCAGACAGAGATCCTATTTAATAAGCTCTAAATATAAAAAAATGAATTGTTAATGATAATTTTTTGTTACACAAATTAGTCACTTACTACATAATATATAATATATCATATATAATATAATATATAATATATAATATTATGCCAGCTTTGCCTGGAGATGGCAAGCCGCCAATAATAATAATCCCACCATTTTAAGTGACAAAGTATCAGAGGACACAAATGCAGTAAGAAGCTTAAACATGTAAGTGTAGATAAGCAACTGATTCTGTCAGATAAGAGGAAGAAAAAATCCTGACAAGAGATCAGCGAGCTTGTACTGCTGCTGGGGCACAGCAGGAGTTTACAGTGTGCCAAAAAATAGAGAGGAGTGGGAGTAGAGAGGTGCTGGGAGGTGCTGTCAGAGAAGAAGAGCTGCCAAAGTCCCTGTGGGGGGTTAATAGCCTACTATATATTTACACAATATAGGCTTCCCCATTTGAGTTTCATCCAACTAATATAGTTCACCAGATTTCACTGACTTTAATGGTGATGTCAACCTCTATAATTTAACTGTACTGAGTTATGTTACCACTGCACAGAAACTGTACTTTCTTAGATTATTTAAGATAAAGTTAGGATCTCCAAACATCGCCCCTGAGAGCCCTAAACCTGCTTGTTTTATGGGTCAGGTCAGCTCTTTCTGGACATTGGGAACTCCTGTAAGTTACATTGGTGAATTAATTCACGATTAACTAGACTACGAGGGTGGTTTCAAACCTTGGTCCTGGACAGCCGCAGTCCAACAGGTGTTAAAAGTCATCATTACATCACCAATTCTTTAATACAAGGAAGGATGGTAAACACAATGCAGGTGGCTCAACGTTTGAGTTCTCCAGGACCAGAAGATAAATAAAAAGGCAACTGATGGAAAACAACTGGCAGAGCTTTGACTGAGGTTTCCAAACTGTCAGGTTAGATTTCAGTACAGTACATTCAATCTTATCTGTAGAGGCTTGCGCCTTGAATTGATCTTGATGCTATTATCAGTTAACAAGAAATCAATATACAAGTAATTCGTAAAAGATAATTGTTAAATGAGTCCAAATTGTATTAATAGTGGAATTTGTTGAATTAAAAACATATTGTGGTAGTGCATATACTGTATTTTGTAGGTAGTCGTATGTAATGTAATTTTAACGTGTAGTTTTGCTCTGCTATAGTATTGTGCAGATTCTAACATCAGTCGGCTACTTATAATTTTTTTATGTCTCACGATTGTATTTTCTATATAATAGTTCAGGTGGGTAGCTGCGTCAGCATGCGTAGGCTGCACTTTATAAGCTAGCCTTTGTCTATAATGCAGATCAACACCGGTTGTTAGGGAACAAGTAACGATATTTTAGCTAAAAACATCCAGTTCGCTTACGATTGGCCGAGACTAATGAGATTGTTTACCTCACTGCAAATAAACAGTAATTTAGAACAAAGACAACATGTGTAGTGTATTAATAATATCAAGCGTTAAAATGGAATTGCTACATAACTTTCAGAATTGTTATTTAAATTAAAAACGAACGTTGAATTGCAGAGAATTCCTGCATTCCGAGGTCTACTGTTAAATGTCAATTGTACTTCGCAGCAGTTTCTTTTATTTTCCTTTCTTCTACGACCGTTAGAGGTCCCCATTCAACCACAATCTCATACGCATCAAGTAAATCCAGGCTCGCACAAGAAAAAGATACAACTGTGCCAACACAACTAACAAAGAGTGGGCTGAAAAGACGCGAAACAAAATCAAAAGCCAAAAAAGAAATGCTAAATTAACGTTAAAAGCGAAGTGACAGATTTATTGTAACGTTTTCTGTAAGGTGAACGCTTCCACAGTCATCAACAACAGCATCTTAAAGGACGGAAAAAAAATTAACACCAAGCAAAGGCAAGGCTGATGTTCTCAAGATCGTTAAAGTAGCGCACCGCTATCTTTCTTTAAGGCACCTGCCTTATTTATATAGTCAAAATATATTATCTCAAAATTAATAATATTAATCCGTCTCCGATTTGGCAATAGGTGTGAGGAACAAGTGCATATGAATAAGCCTCATATGTAAAAAAAAAAATCAGATTTCTTTCTGTTCAATTAAAACAATGTATACAGTACGTCAGAATTCAAGTGTGTACAGCTGGATGCTCTGAAAGCAACGTCTCCGTAATGTAACTTGGAAGAGAACAGAGCTCGGTGACCTCACACACAGATTCTTTGGAACTGGGAAGAAGGTTGCACATTACTGGATTTGTTCATTCTCCTCCTCGTTATAATTGCTGTTCTCGTTATCATCTGATTTTCGCAGCTACGTGGGATAAAGTATTTTGTGCTGTTCTCAGATTCACTTTGTTAAAAGAGCGCTCCAGTCATTTCATTTCATCATCATTGGAGATGATGACCTACCTTACTGTGGTCATTGGCTGTTTCACCTTTCGACCAGTTTCATTTCCTTTAAATCACAGAGACTAACTTTTGTGTGGATACATTCAACCTGGAAGTTAAGTCAAACAGCTTATTCCTAAAACGTTGATTTCGAATTCGTTCGCACCTTTCCCAACGCGTTGAAGGAGACACGGATAATTACTCGCCGATGTTGGAATTATTAGAGGGGAGAAGATTTAAAAGCTTAATACGGAAAAGTGTTACGGTGTGTGGACAAATTAAGGTTTCCATAAACAGTTTTTCTTTCACGGACGACGGTAACATGGAGAAGAGCTCAGTCAGCTACAAAACCATGGGATAGAGAACATTATCCCTTCTATATGGAAAAGTGCAGGGTCAGAGTGATAACCCAATCCGAATAAAAAATAAAAAGTAAGATGTATTTTACTGTTACTATTAATGACGATTATGATAAGTGGGCAGTAAGTGCAGGTAGGTTTAATAATCATTAATTATTTTTTCTCATTTTGCATGCAATATGATGGATTTAATCACGATTTGTTTTTAAATATATTATGCATCTGACAATGCCTAGATCTGAATTTAGCAAAAGACACCTAATTGGGAACGAACAAATAAAAAAAGGGTGATAGACTTTTAACGCACGACTGACCGATCAGAAATGGAATTTACATGAGACGCAGCAGTAGTAAAAACCTAAATTAATTTAACAGCTACGGGACTGAACGCCACAGTTGTTCTATGCTACCCGAGTAATTACTGGCTTAAAATGGAGAGTGAAACTGCAATAATGTCGTCAAGAAATGTCGCAAGGCACCACTTAAACTTCGTAAACACAAAGGATTACAGGAAAAGCACAAGAAGAAAGGAGACAGCATAATTACTGTACATCTTGAAAAAGAAAATTTATGTTATGATGTTATACTGCATTCTTACTATGCCACTGAAAACAAAATAACATACAATAATAAAACAGAGTCAAACTAAAGTAACAGCTCTGAACGTGTTCTCGTCAATGACCCAGAAAATACATGTACAGTACCACGTTCTGGCTTAAAACAGTCGGTTGTCTGCGGCCAGAGAAGCTGGGAAAGTGATCAAACGGACACGCCTCGACGGTCATTAACATGGGCAAATCAGATAAATGCAACGCAAATATGATCAATAGACTATTTCGATAACCTTATATAAAAGTCTAATAACTGCCTAAGCCACTCTGCTAAATACATCAGAGGGAATTTGCAGTGATTATAATGCTGGATAACTAGTTCAAACTGATGGACAGGAAAAAGAATAATATAAGCACCAACTAAACAAGAGATTTCTTCAAAAATAGAATGGTGGGATTCAGTTGCTTTCCTGTTGGTTTGTTTCTAAAGGTTCTTTTAAGCAAACTGTTGTCAGAAAATTGTTTTCTGGTGAAGGGAAGGAAGCATTTTAAAAAGAATAATACAATAAGCAGTTGCTGAAGCTGAAAGCAATGCTGCTAGGGCAACAAGGCAAAAGAACCTCTAGGGTCATTGTTGAACCCTCATGCCTTTTGGTCGCTGTTTTACATTAATAACTTTTTTCCACCAGTTGGAGTTATGAGGTGATTTCTGCTTCCAGAGGTGAAAGGATGGATTTTAACATCACCACCGTCATCGACAGCGATATTTCAGAGAGAGACTCGTCTGCTCGAGTCTTGACAGGCTGTTTCCTGTCTCTGCTCATACTGTCAACTCTGTTGGGAAACACACTGGTCTGTGCGGCTGTTACCAAGTTTCGTCATCTGAGGTCCAAAGTCACAAACTTTTTTGTGATATCCCTGGCTGTATCAGATCTGCTTGTGGCAATTTTGGTGATGCCTTGGAAAGCCATTACAGAGATCGCTGGTTTTTGGCCCTTTGGCTCATTTTGCAATATTTGGGTGGCTTTTGATATTATGTGCTCCACAGCCTCCATTTTGAACTTGTGTATCATCAGTGTGGACAGGTATTGGGCTATATCAAGCCCCTTCAGGTACGAGAGAAAGATGACCCCCAAAGTGGCGTTCATTATGATAAGTGTAGCATGGACACTGTCGGTGCTCATCTCTTTCATCCCTGTACAGCTCAATTGGCACAAGGCTCAAACAACGAGCTTTTCTGAACCAAATGTCAGCTATAGGGGACTGCCGCTGGACAACTGTGACTCTAGCCTGAACAGAACATATGCCATCTCTTCTTCCTTGATCAGCTTTTACATTCCCGTTGCCATCATGATAGTCACTTACACTCGGATTTATAGAATTGCCCAGAAGCAGATCAGGAGGATTTCCGCCTTGGAGAGAGCAGCAGAAAGTGCCAAGAACCGTCACAGCAGCATGGGAAACAGCTCCAGCATGGAGACCGAAAGCTCGTTCAAGATGTCCTTCAAAAGAGAAACCAAAGTTTTGAAAACTCTGTCAGTGATAATGGGGGTCTTTGTGTGCTGTTGGTTGCCATTCTTCATTCTGAACTGCATGGTGCCCTTCTGTGAACACACCTTGCCAAGCGGCAATGATTTTCCTTGCATAAGTTCCACCACCTTTGATGTCTTTGTCTGGTTTGGATGGGCCAATTCCTCACTCAACCCTATCATTTATGCCTTTAATGCAGACTTTCGCAGAGCTTTCTCTATTCTCCTGGGATGCAACAGACTTTGTCCCACCAGCAATGCTATCGAGACTGTCAGCATCAACAACAATGGAGCGCCTCCTCCTTCTTTCCAGTATCAGCCAAAGGGATACATCCCCAAAGAGGGGAATGTGACCTACCTGATTCCTCATTCCATACTCTGCCAAGAGGAGGAATCCCCCAAAAAGGATGAAGAGGCTATTGGAATTAAGACACTGGAGAAACTGTCTCCTGCAGTGTCAGGTAACTTGGACAGTGAGGGAGATGTTTGTTTGGAAAAGATAAACCCTACAACTCAGAATGGGCAGCACAAAACATGAGCAAAACACAAAACCTGCAGAACGTCTTGAGAAATACCTTAGCCTGTTGAACTGAACAACAAAAATCTAACCCTTAAGTGACTTGAACATTAACTAGAATGAGTGCAGATTTTACAAAAAAAATTAACACTGAGGACCTTAAAACCCTGTGTAGTAATCAAACTGAAATTTAAAGAATGTTCAAAAAGAAGGCACTTTATTCTGAAAAACTATCTGCAAAACACTTTATATGTCTGTTAAAAATAAATTGAAAGTTAAGACAACTAATTAAAGAAAGTAAAACATAATTTTTAAAATTAATACAAACATTCAACAATGTGCATGTGTAGAGTTACAGTAATAATAAGTGAAACTGGCTGACCATGAAACAAGGGGTCACCCGGACATAGCAAATTAGCAAGCTATTCATGTCCTGTAGGTAGTTTAACAGTGCTTTAAATATAGAGTATATTTTAAATACTTTTTTCCTACTTCTAGGTTAAATGGTTTGGAATATTATGATGTGAATTGCAGTATGTACTTAATATTTATTTTTGTATTTATTTTCAATTAAAATGATTTCACACCAGGTTATTGCTAGTTTGCTAACATTACAGTACTTAGTATTAGAATGGACTTATGGTATACTGTACGTAATTAAACCATAACCTCTCCTATGACCTTATTCACCACAAAAGAGATTAAGTACTTAGGTCTACACATTTTTGCACATTTTAAATTTGAATATTTTCGTTATTTTCTGTCTGAATTTTCCAGATCATACTCGGAAAGTGATTGCCGTTCAGATTTATTGTCATTATTATTATTTCGATTTATGTATACTGTATAGTGAACTGATCCCAAAATTCTTGTAACAAACTGTGTGCGAAAGCCTGTTTATTTAGCACAGTACTTGAAAACAAATAATTTGTAATGTAACCTGTGCTCTAAATGGCTTTTGAGAGACTAAGGTAACTCACATTATCCAAGCAGATATACTGTAAAGTGCTATCTTGGAGACAGCACTGAAAATAACTACAGTCTTCTATGGAACAGAGCTCCCTTTATCTTATGTGTTTCAGTGAAGAGTAAGACACCTACATTTTAAATCAATCAAAGACAGCAAAAACAAAACAAAACCCCCCAGCTGTGACTTTCCTAGAGTAAGATGTCACAGAAACAAAGAAATCTCTTGATGAAAAATAGTAACACTTGTGCTCTCTGGTTTATCACAGCATAACTCACTGTTTTTCAAGCTTCACATTTTGTAACTTCATTACAGTGTGAATATGTGAACAAGATGACAATTATTAACTCAGTCATAAATAATGTATCACCTAACATACTTCAACTGAAAATATATGACAGTTTTTTTCAGATTATGATCAGCTACTGCTACTGTTATCTTTATTAATTGAATGTTAACAAATAACGTAACTTACAATGATTTTGCTCTGGGTTTGTTATGAATTTGATTCTTTGCTAGCAGACCCATTCCATTGTTACTGAAATAGCTATTTGCTATTTGTTACGTTGTGTTTTTACGAGATAGAGCAAATCCAGTAATACTTCAGTATATTGGGTACACATTCATGCACTGTATAAACACCTCATAACCTCTAATACATGTAGAACATGAATACTAATACTGTAAGTGTCACTAACCTGGTAGTAAGTGGCCCTTACTAATGATAAATGGCATAGTTATTAACTGAAGTCAAATACTTATCATTTACAACAACCTTATTTAGGACCCTTTCATTGTTTACAACTGTGTTCATCATACACATATAAAGAATGATTTGCACCCCCTAAAACAAAGTACTTTATTACCACAGCCTTTATGGACAATATTGTTTGTGATGAAATTAACTTCAGTGCTGCAGGCAATTAAGTGAAAAGATTGATTTTCTGTAAAATCAGATTATTGTTTAGAATAAACTCATGAAGAGAATGTGTGCTTTCGTAGCTTGTAATTATGAGACCTAAGAAAGAAATAGGTACATTTTGTATTGTAGAAGTGATGTTTGAAATATAGTATCACAGATGAGAAACTACAATTCAATAATTTGCACATTCAGATATCCTTACCTTTTTGTTTGACTGGTAAAAGGGGACTTCGGCTTGTATAAAAGTACATTCAAAATATATAGTAAATGTATTAATACAGATTTTCAATATAAGTGAACCACACATTTGTAGTATATAATGTGAATACTTTTTTTACAATATGCATGGTTTGATAATGTATTTGAATTATACTATATACTTTACAAATTATAACATTTTATGTACTGTAAATTAACACCATTACGTACTATCAAATTTTAGGGTAAGTTTCTTTTAGTGTCAAAAAAAAGTGAAGCGTATACTTCCCTTAGCAACAGAAAAGATTGTTTAAAAGGAAGTTCTCATAAAAATACATAATTCTGTAACAGTTCATTAAATTCCAAAGACCATATAAGAAAAAAATGATCCATATATATATAAACCATTTTCTTCTCATTTCCATCCCAATCCTTTCAAATTTGTATATCTATATACAGGTTAATGCTTAAAAGTAACCTATCTTGTGTCTCCTTTTGAAATTGTATATTCTGTTGTCACACAAGGTTTGTACTTCTGGTGTCTTGGATAATGCGAGTTAAAATATAGAAATCTCATAAAGGCTTTTATTTCAAGGATGATATTATAGACATTCAGGCTTCATCATCAAAGTATTAGATGACTTAATTCTCAATGACATCCCTACCTCAACCTTCAACAACATAATTGTGCTATTGCAGAAAAATAAGTATTGTACAATGTTGAAATGTAGAAGTGAACGCAAGTGCTTTGCAACTGAAGATTCATAAATTTGTGTAGCAAATTATATGTCCTGTCTTAAGTGTTGGTTTGTTAATAAGTCAGGGTAATCATTGCCTGAAGTACATCTGGCAAGCTGTAACCAATGGCAAAAGCAAAATATTACGACTTTTTTTCCCAATTCACAATTTGTGTCAGAGTTTTGGAGTCTCTTACTGTCTGCAGAATAAAAGTATATGTTTATTCCAGGTCAATGCATTGAATATTGTTCTTAAATTTGCTCTTCAGTGTATGCCCAGTTGTATTTTGCTCATTGCAGGATACCACTTGTTTTAGGAGGATCAATGGCAATGGATTTCAGATGGACAGTGCCATCCTACATCAGTCTAGCTAGTTCATTTAACACTGAAAAAAAAACAAAACAGATTTCAGATAAAAATCCAGAGCAATTACAATTATTCAAGTTTAAATACTGCTTCACCCATGAATTATGTAGAATATTTAGTAAATCTGTCAGTAAACAGGGCTGGTTTTAAGATAACAGCCAAATTGTAAAAGTTGATGGTTCTAAAATGTCTTAAAATAATTGCTAAACAATGTGTGAATAGTAAAGTAAACTTAGAATGACTGCTGCATTTAAAAAAAAACATGTCTTTAGGATTGGATCAGTAAAATAAAGTGCTTTAGCACTTCAGATTTGAATGATATGCCTTCATTTGTAAAAATAAATACCATGGCTTCTATACATGTGAGCTTTTTGTTCAAAACTGTGCAGGAAAAAGTTGGAACCAGCTGAAAAAAGGCTATTTCATTGGAACCCATAATGACAACTGCAGCTTGAATAATTATGGCTTGAATATTTAATGCTAGGAGTTTATGAAGACAAATGATTCCTAACCACTGACACTCAAGCAGAAAGAAAGCAACAATATGGACCACAGAATTGGAATAAAATATGTTGGGATGTCTTTGTCCTGCTTTATTAGAGTTTTACCATGTTTTTTAAAGTGCTGTTGGTTCCTTCTTTTGGAAGGTCAAGATGCTTAATTGCCTTTCATTTTACACTAATCAGATTTTGTACAGTGTTTGACTTTAATTACATTGTATTGTTATAGCAAAAACAAGCAAATCTGTTATATTAATTTTATTGAAATAAATATTTGAGGTACAACAAATTATAAAAATAATAAAACTTTTAAGTATGGATATTACAAGGTAGAAAGAGAAAGATCTTTATTTTTTTTAAAGGATGTGCATACATAAACTCATTGACATTCTTAGAGATTGTTTCCCTGCATCTCTATTTAGACTTGAGTTTTATGTTGTCTACAGCTTTATGCCAAGAACATGCTTGATCATAATATTTGAAAATGTAAATAAGATTAAACCTTACTTCAAAAGTGATTCAGAATTGAAATTAACGTGATGTTTCATTTCTTTTAGTGACTACTTAGAAAGTTGTCCACCAGTACCTCTGTTGTCAGAGTACAACAGTATGTTTTCTGTTTACTGTAGCTTTTGCATTTCTTTTCAAAAACTGTCCGTTCATCTTGGACGGTTTCTTTTGAGAGGAGTACTGTTTGTACCGAGAGATACAGTACATGAGAGCGTACAGATATGTGAAAGCCATTTAGCTCATTTAATTTTATTAGGTGTTGGTAATTTGGTGATCCAAGGTTCTGAGGCAGTCATTACTATAAATATCCAGAGAATCAGCTTCAGTGACACATTTCCAGAAACTTTTCCAGACATCCAGCTCCCTCTTCGTAAACAAGTGCCACTTATAGTCAACCTCAAGACTTAAGGTTCCTTTTAATTTCCATTTGTGCACTCAGGTCCTTGTTTAAATGCTGTAATTGAAGTCATCAAGTTGATTAAATTTGTCAATGCCTTATAGGATTTTGGATCCATTAAGTCTCCTCCTAGTCTTTACAGTTTAACACTGAATCAGTTTTGTTTCTTTATAGATGGCAAAATAATTAATAAGGTAAACTGAAACATGGCAGTAATTCCTCTCAATAAAGCAACTGTGAATCTCTATGATTGATGTGTTGAATTCAGAAGGCAAGACTGAGAATTATACATCTTAATACAGTATACAGTATGTAAATGTTTCATTGTTTCTTTCATGTAATTTCAAGGCATCTCTTTAATTTGAAAAATAACAATGCAGAGAATGACTGGCCAATACAAAAACAGGTGGACACAGGAGAAGCATAAGATTGTCAAATAACAAGAGCAAGCTGTTTCAGCAGAATCAGTGTGTATTTTCAACTATAACAATGGCAACAGTCCAGTATCTATCTTAGCTGTTGCTCTTGTAGTCCCATATACCAATATAAATATGGGACTGGATTTTCAGAATTTCTAAGATTTTGGAAACAAACAATGATCTATGAGTAAAATCATAAACATAACGGCATTAGTAGTTTTGATATTATACTTATGGGCTGGAATGAAGTGCCATAAAAATAAAAGAATTGTGCTTATGTTTAATTAATAGATTTTTTTGGATTCTGGTTCAGAAAAAGAAACCATCTTCACACAGTCTTCATCACTCAAGCACATGATGCAGCATACCAAGGTGTTGGCAAGACCTTACGAAAAATGTACAGTAGTGCCATTCAAAAGCTTGAAGTGCTCATGGGAAAAAAATGAAACTACTATGATCTTAAAAGCCTGGTGATATGAGGTTCGTTAAAATCAGTCCTCCCAAGGACACTAGCTAAATTGGATTTTAATGTAAAAATCTAAAGAACGAGTTAATGATCTGCCTCTAGGCTGCGCTTTGCTTGGTTAGAAGGGCTTCATTATACAGTACCGAAATGGGATTATATAACTATACAATCTGTGGAACTTCACAAAACCCCAGTCTTAGCAGTATCAGATGTTGGATGTTAGTAACGTTGCACAGTGTGCCTCATCTCAACAAGACTGAGGTGCATCATTTGTGATAGTATCTAGTTAGGCCTCTTTCTGCCTGTTGGAAAGGACATTTAATGGTAATCACAGTGATAAAAGATTTACATTTTTCACTCACTTTCAAAGTCAACCATCCAAGAATTTTGGTGTCGGAATAACTAGAAATACTAATAATCCCTTTCATTCAGATAATGATTCTCATCCAAAGGATACCAAAGAACTTTTCAGATGGGAGGAGATCACTTTATCCACCACTGGGTGATGTGCAGCAGTCAGTTCCAACAGCCTTGCTACAGAGAAGATCAGAGCAGATTTTACTTCGTAAAATGAGGTCTGCTAGATTGTACCAAGCTGGAATAGAATTTATTCAGAACACTGCAGTTAACATCCCTAATCATACAACAGTATCATGGGATCTTAAATTACCATGGAGACAGACATTGGTTTAACATCTCAAAAGAGGGCCTTTCTGCATTAGCAGTGTCCCCAGTACCTATACTGGGGTGTTGGTCCGGGAATTCTGGTCCAGTAGGAAGTCATTTACTGGTACACCAACACTACAGGAGGAAAGATGACTATATTTACTTAGTTATGTACAGTATTTATGTGGCTTTTTGTGTTGTTTCACAAAATAATACATGACACAGAATAATAAGATTGAATCGATGTCTCCTATCACAACATTTTAAGGCGAATTACGAAATACTGTAATATGAACAAACAGTTCAGGTGGGTAGCTGCGTCAGCATGTGTAGGCTGCAAAGGAACAAGTAATAGGTTTATTCCATGCTGAAAAAAAGAAGAAAGAGAACACAACGTTTTGGCCATGGAGCCTTCTTCAGGTGTGACCTGAAGAAGGCTCCACGGCCAAAACGTTGTGTTCTCTTTCTTCTTTTTTTCAGGATGGAATAAACCTATTACTTGTTCATATGAACAAACAGTTGCATTCTGAAAATTAAATCTCAAAATTTTATTTCAATCTTATTTTGAACGCTATTTTATGTGTCATTTTGAACTAATTAATGTAAATCTGTGATAAACATTTACTTATTGATAATCATTCATAAACATTGATTAAACATAATAGGAGGGATTAAACATAATAGTGATTTTCTGTGTCAGATGAATTGAAGATGATAAAAACCCTTTGTATATTTACAGTATGTGCTATAGTATTTCATTTACCAGTTCCATTATCCTTTGACAAAATGCACTACACATTTGAGTTTGCTTTAAGGATTATCTTATGCATGTATATCCTTAGCATATGTAAGTTTTTTAGGCCAGGACATCACCAGACTGGTGCACCTGCTTGTGACATAGATAAATGTTTAATCGATTTTAGTAACTGACTTATTCATGCGATAAAGCAGGTTTTAGCTGCAGAACAATTCCTGATATGTGGAAGCTAAACTGGAATTAAAAAAAAAAACTTTCTGTTCCTGTGCCATTTCCTCTCACTTTCTCTTCAGAAAGTCATGTCTCCATTGAGAGCTGCTAGGTCCAATTTGCCACTTCATATATTCTCAAACGGAAAATAATAGTATCCAGAAAAAAATGTAAATTAAATTCCTTTTTTCACATAAAGGAACAAGGGGAAAATCTGTGGAAGTGTACTAAAGTTACATGTCATAAAGTCACACTCTTTTATATTAATTTCAAATTGTTTGTATGTGACTTTGTATTTCTAGTCCACATAAATAAATCTTGGATGACAGTGTTGCTGCCTCACAGCTCTAGGTCAAGGAATGGATTTCTGAGACTTCAGACTGTCTGTAGGGCGTTTGCATGTTCCCCCACATTCATATTGGGTTTCTTCTGGTGCTTCTCTTTCCTCCTACAGTACAAAGATATGCTCACTAGGTTAATTGCACTGTTTAGCTGTCCATGTGTGATTATGTATCCTCTGATGGAGCGGCATCATGTCCAGGATATATTTAGCTGAAGCAAACGTGCTATCCTTAATGATATGCTTCCTGCTTCTTTGCATGAAATGTGATCAGCTTTTTAGAGCTTGTAACAGCAGGGCCCTCATGATATTGAGGATTTAGAGGCCTGAGCAGTGACCTTATAGAAATAAGAAAACCAAAAAAGTGTGATTTGAACCTTAATGGAGCAAGTAATCTGCTTATCATCTTAATCGATACACTGCAGAGGTATTCATGTAATGCACCATTACCTCCAATGTTTAAAGGGATCACATTCAATCCTCTCACATAATTTCCTCTGTATTGGCTGTTCCCAGGTATGACTGTAAGAATTACTGTGTGAAAGGGGATTAAAATACATTGAGCAGCACACTGAAAAAAAAGCCGTAATTGGACTCTTGAAAGGGTGGCTTATGTTCCATCATAATTACTATTTGGACTCTTTTCCAACTGTTGACTGCTTCACTAGAATGCTGTGTTCTATTTTGATTGTGGCTATCATCTTAATTGCTGTAACAAAGAGTTTATGATGTTGACAAGTTTTTAACATTCGTCTGCCAGTGAATTGAACGGCCATTACTCATCAAAGGACAAGCGGGACCATTTTATTAAATAGTCTGTCTTGTATACAGTAATAGAGGAAATAAAGAGAGGAAAATAGATACTCCTGCCATGCTTTCTTTCATTCTAGTACCTATACGTTTATAGGATTTTTATATGTGATGCAATGAAAACAAGGAACCAAAATAGTTTTATTTTAAAAAACAAAATTCCTAAGTTTTTCACTCCATAGTGACTGGAACTCAACATGTTTGAGAGATGTTTAAATACAAAAAATTGGCTATAAAAATCCTAAGGTTTTAATAATTTACTCTGCTCTAAATGTTAAAATATTTTATTTTAAGGGGAAATGTTCTATATTGTACAACAACATTTTATATGCTATTATACAATATGTCATATTACAGCAATACTTTACAGATTACCATTTTCAGATTAAACAACAAATCCATTTATTGGAAAGCAAGTTAGATAATGTATTAGTGGTATATACATTTCACCCACAGATGTTGTAGTAATTGCAAAATGAGCCAAAAGCATCCCAAAACACAAATTAAAAATGACATTCCTCAGAGTGAAATGAGAAAATTGAGATTCTCACAGTCTGCCTGCTGCATATTTAATTGCATTATTGCCTCATAGTTTCTGGAACTAAATTTCTGAGTAGCATTTTTTTAATATATCACTACCATAAATGGCATAGAACAAAATGCTCTGCAATAGAATGACATATATATGATAGACTATTATAGAATATTAGCCTAAGGTATTTTGTTTGTTTTTTTCATATAGAAGGACAAAGAATGTTGCAGAAACAGACTTTATTCTGAAGGTATGATACATACTGCCCTTTAATAATAATAATAATAATAATAATAATAATAATTTATTATTTTACTTGATACTGTATTACTGTGGCTAAATGATTAAAATCAAGATCATTTTAATGTTTTCCTTGATATTTTATATGGCACTTGCAGTAAGGCTCAGCTCAGCCCATGATGAAGTTTACCTATCATGAACAGATTTACTTCAATAAAGTAATTTAATGATATCCTACAGTATATTTTCTTGTGCATCTTCACAGCTATAAGTTGTCTGACTGTGTGCTATCATTAACTACCTAAATTTCAAAAGCCTGATTAGGCTGTAATTCTACCAAATAATTTAAACTTTATGGCATAGAATAAGCCTAAATTAATTGTTGATAAATCTACACCTTCCTTAATGGACATAAATCTCCAACATCAAACTTCCATATAGGGACCTGTTGGCACAGCAACACACAGCCTTAAGGTTGTGCATCATTCACATTTACTAAATTCAAATCAAGACTAAGGGCACAAACATGTGAACGGGCTTTGATGACCTTGTGTGTGAGTTCAAGCGTTTTCAATTTGAGTTCGACAACAAGGTTATTCAAAATCCCTGGGCCTTATTTACCCTATGTAATTTCTTAATGTGTCCTGATACCATAACAGTTACACCTTTTCCATGAACATAGTGCTTTTGAACAACCAGATTGTAAGTGAAGTTTACAATGTGAGGTTATTATCCACTTTGCTAAGCAAAACGTATTTATTTAATACTATAAACCTATTTATGTACAGTATACAGTGAATTGTATATCCATCAGTATGGCAGCTACAGTTGGTCATTTTTGGAGAAATGTTTCCACTTCCCCACACAATCAGGAGTCTGTCTCAGAAGTTAAAAGAAGTATTTATTTTATGTGCATGGGAGCACAACACGCAGTGATGCTTCGTGTATTTTTCTCAAAGAGATAAACTAGAACAGCCCTTTTATATATTTCTGTTATCTATCATGCTTCCCTGTGGTTATCAGACTGGTAACATTGCAGGATCACACTCTTCTTCCTCTTCCCTGTTTGCCAAAGATAATGTCTAAAATTGGTTACTTCGTTTCTTAGCTACTTTATTCCTATATTACCCAGTATAGAATAATATAGTAGCATTTGTGTCCAGCATT